CTACTATCACTTACCGTACCTTATTTTACCACCTTGGCCACTGAAACCTCTAAAATGATCCTGGCCTCCCGTTCTCTACTATCCCCTGCCATTTCTGGATGACAGGAAGACAGGAAGATACCAGTCTGAAGATGTCTTTCGTTACTTGGTCTTCCAAGTGGTCGTCTGCCTAGTAGTACTCCTTCACTCCTTGGAATACACTTTTAAAAGTTGAAGTATCTTCTCTCCGCCATGCAAAGCCTGCCCAGCCCATCCGAGATCCGAGCCTTTTGGTCTACTTTTGGAATGTACCCCTTTATCAAGTTTCTGAATCATACAGTACTACTGGGATAGTTATGATATGGTATGAATCGATTTTGGTTTCTACTGACACCCTGCAGCTTACTGGCCAGTTTTCTGGAGACCTACTACACCGGTTAACATTTTCATTACGAATAAAATGTGTACTGTATGCAGTCATACTTATATTCAAACATCTAGAAAAAGATGTATCAACACGTAAACCACTTATATCTTAAAGGATTAAGCCGATCCCGGACAAGAGCACCTTTGAAAGTGAAAATTTCAACCGGTATGTTTGAGGTTGAGGTAGTGGTGGGTGGTGCTGTGTTACTTCAACCAACCGTTTCCCAATTTCTTTCATTTATCATATGACTTTGTTTACATTAATTTTGTTTTGTTTTGTTTCACTGAAAAAACTAACTTACAATAATTTGGTACAGAATAAAAATATGTATTAAAATTGTAAGCTCAGGGTTTTTAGGTTCGTGCTTGGAACTCTCTTTTATTACCAATTTCCTTGCTAATAGCCTATTTTAATTTGAAACTTTTTTTTATGATAATAAAGTTAGCCTATGATTTCTTTTTTTTACTAAATAATTTTATATAGAATTTGGATAAGGTTGTTCTAAAACAAAAGTTTTTACTTGAATCAAGAATATAAATTTTAACAGCTAGGAGGCTACTCGATCCACCTCAGAATTAGGCTAATGTTCTCAAATTGTCCAACACTTAAATAGAATTGTCTGTAATAATAAGATGGAGATTACCAAATTTCTTCCAAGTTTCCACATTTCTTCTTGTTTAAACTATTTGAAATAACTAGACTATTGGTTTAGCTTTTCACTTTTTACTAGAAAATATTTTAATATAAAAATCATACAAACTAGTTTTTACACTTTCATCAGGCTAGTTAATGGTAGAAGAAGAAAATCCAGTTGTTACCTAACACATGTTTTTTAGCAACAATGTCTTCTAGGTCTTCAAGGTCTTCTAGATCTTGAAGTTCACTTTTAGTCACTCAGGCCAATTAATATTATATGAAATTTAATTTGGGTAAATTACTTTTTGAGATTTGGTTTAGATATATATATTTATTTTTACTTTAGCTTGTGTTTGAAATAGATTTTATATATTTTAAATAGGCTTTTAGGCTTAATTGACTGGTAATAGGCTATTTATATATTATTTAATTATACAAAATTTTATGAACTGTTGCAAAATATAAATCAACTTTCTTTTCATAGTACATAGCAGATGGCGACGAGGATCTTTATTTTTGAACCCTTTGATGATAATGAAGAAACATGGAACAGTTACCTAGAAAGACTAGAAATAGCTTTTGTATTCAACAATATTTCTGAGGAAAACAAGACAATAACACTGCTACATGTTATTGGAAAGAAAACTTATGGAACACTTAGAGATTTGTTACAACCTAAATAACCTACGGAGTTTACGTATAAAGAATTAATGTAAACAAAGTCATATGATAAATAAAAGAAATTAGGAAACAGTTGGTTGAAGTAACACAGCACCTAAATGATCATGTGATCAACAACCATACTGAAGATGAAGGTCGCTTTAACCAACCTCTAGCTCCTCTACCAAACGGTGAAGCCTCAAACCCTGCCTTAAGAAGAAGCTCAAGGAAAAAACAACCGGTTACAAGAATGAATATGTGATTCTAAAACCTAGGGGAGAGGTGCTGTGTTACTTCAACCAACTGTTTCCTAATTTCTTTGATTTATCATATGACTTTGTTTACATTAATTTTGTTTTGTTTTGTTTCACTGAAAAAGCTAACTTACAATAATTTGGTACAGAATAAAAATCCTATATATTAAAACGAAACAGGGTTTTTTTATTTCACGATTCTGAATCAACCACTTTGACGGATTTTTATGATTTTTGTGTTGAAAGAAAGATAATTTTGAGAACTAGGGAATGTCGAAGCCATAATTTTAGTTTAGGGTTTCAGATTTTTAGAAATTAAGTTTTAATTTTCAAAAAGTCTAGCAGTCGACGGACGAGTTAAAGTCGTTTTAGTGGTGGTTTAACTAACAGCTGGTTTCTAACTGTCATTGAAATGTTTATGTTACAAGTTGTTTGTATACACAAATATTGATCGTCAGAGTTTGCCTACACACTATTTTACTTTAAAATGCAGTTTATTTTCTACCGTAAAAGATCTATGATACCAGGAGATTGTGTAATTTTGAACTAAAAATGTTAAACGTATAATCAAGTTTTGTCATAAATGCAATCCTTTACTGTGTGTTGTAAATTACTAAACTAAATCGTATTTAGTGCTTCATTTCATATAGTAAGCCGTCATTTTAACATCATTTTGTGTCATTTTCGGACTAAGAAAATATAAATTGTTATGATAAAGTTTGGTGACACTAAAGTATATGTACTTTGCCTTGGTTAAAGCGTAGCAAATTCCCTAATTAAATTCAGAATTTTTGTGTGTATGTCTGTTGGTTGCGCATATCTCTCAGTGTCCATACAGACAACTGAAGATGACACAAAATGATGTAAAAATGACGGCTTACTCTATGAAATGAAGCAGTAAATACGATTTAGTTTAGTAATTTACAACACACAGTCCACGAACTATTGATACATAAACAACGTAAAGTGCAAACAATTCATGAAGGTTTGCTCAACACATGTTTTACTCAGATGAATTATATGTCAAGTTTGGTGATGAACGTAATACCGCGAAAAGACTCAGATTTACACAATCCCTGTTTAGTGGGCACTTCGACGTTTTAGAGCAACAAAAAGAGCCTTTTTCTCCCAATTGTCAGCCGATCCCGGAATCTCAACAAAATACACCAAGGCGTAAACGGCGTAGCAGGTGCACAGACAAACAAAGGAAGTAATAGGTGAAGAACGCAAGCAAAAAGTATGAACAAACTCATCCTGAAAGACATTCACTAAAGATTCAATGGATAGTGAAAAATATATCAACAATGACATGTAATCCGAAAATAGACTATGAAGGAGATAGCTTGGTGGCGATAGGTACCATGGCGTTCAAATGTAAGTAGGCCTACTGTGAGGCCTTAGAATGGAAAGAAGAAACACCGGGCATGTGCTGCAATGGTGGTAAAGTGCAGCTACTACCTTTGCAGCACCTACCTGAACCTTTATGCAGTCTGGTCATGGGCAACCACCCTGAGCATACACACTTTATGGACCGGGTGAGACATAATAGCTGCTTTAATATGACATCGTTTGGAGCAAAACAGGTTGTAGCTGAATTGTTGACTGAAGGTTTTTGGCACTTAAACACTAATTTAATTCAAATTTCAACCAATTTGAAAGTTTCCGTAGCGAAGCACGGGTATTCCACTAGTCAGTATACATAGCTAACATTTCACATTTCTTGAAAGTCATTTACTGTAGAAAAAAAAAAAAAAAATTGAACATGACTATTAGAATTATGCAACACAAACGATAACTTAGGTGCAAATAGTGTGTTTTAAAAGTGATTCTCACTAACACTGGTTCTTGGGAGAAGTCCGGTACCGAGAGGCGTTGTCACAATGAGGTTATGTGGTTATTGGGTAGGCCTACGTACCAATAGGAGATGGACCATAGGCCTATTGGCGGTATGATCCAGTGATAGCAGCGCAATAGCAGTGAGTCGAAACCGAAAGTGACACATTGCAAAAGCGAGTTTAGCAGCATCCATGAACCTTTGTTATGATAAAAACGAAATCGCAAAGATCTTCCGAGGATTGCAGCAATTTCCGCGATCACCCACTGTAGTTGTGATTTTTTAATCGACACAGCAGCCTTCGAAACACCATTAATGAGTGGAAGCCGCTATTGTAGGCTATTAGCGACGATGATTTAAAAAATGCAAGTTTCCCAGTCCTTTACAACACTGATTCATGGTCTTTTTCCAGGTTATCCAAACTCAAGTACAACTTAAAACACGGAGAATCTCCGGTTCCCAACCTGGACGATGCCTAGTTATTTAACCCATTGGGGAAAGAATTAATGAGCTGCATACAGCACCCTCTGTAAGCAATTAATTTTACCGAATTTGTAGACTTTTACTTTAATTGTAGGGATGTGCAATGCAGCTTTTTTTCAATTCGATGCATCGATGTGATTCAAAGAAATCTTATTTGAATCAATGCGATTCAATTCGATTCAGCAAGGGCATGATTTTCTTTCAAAATTATTTCCAACTTGCGATTCTCTAATGTATATATCTTAAAATGTATGTAATATCTTAAAAGGGTAAAGTAAAAAATTTACTAAATAGATGACATATCTATTTCATAGATGACATATTCTCTTCACAGAAGATTAGAATTTCATAGATGACGTATGTAGTAAATATGGGCAGAAACTTGACAAAACTCCCATAAAATTGAGTTTTTGATTGTCCGTTATTTTATTTCAAAAGTAGTGAGGCCATAACATAAGATACAGCTTAAGATACTTCCACCCATCCTGTGAATACAATTAAACTATTAGAATCATGATCGGTACTATAGTTTTCTTGGAGTAGTCAGCATAAATTGAAATTTTGGTGTCACAGACACAGACATGACAGACAGAAATTGAGAAAAGACTTGTTTCGGCATTCATAGGCTATGAAATGTAAAAATAACCAAAAACTGCCTGATTCTACGCAATGTACAGACAAAACTGTAATTTTATTTATATAGATTGCTCTTTAGATAAATACACACCTGTTGGGTATGGAATCGCACAGTGAGTTGACAGAATAAATTATCTTTGCTGATAATTTCCACAGTTCTGGCCTGAACAAGTCGGGGAGGGTCCAGCAACCCAATCATCTTCCAATGAATGGTCTTGTCCTCAACATTGTGAATCATTTGCTATGAAACAAACACACACACTTGTTTGAATATAACTTAGCAATTCAAGTTTCAAGATTTGTTAATAGCATGACATAATCAAATATCTACTGTACTATGATTAAATCTACATGTTATAAAAACATGTTACAGCAAGAACTTGCATTGTTATAATCTTAAACTTTTAGTTTTTGTGAAAATTGTTACTGCCAAAACATGTAATACCAGTCAGCTAACCACAGGCACTTTGGAAGCACCTCTCAGACACACATTGCTTAAGGGGGCACTCCGCCCAAAAAAAAACTATGAATTTCAAAAAATGTATCAAATTTCAGTTATTTACCAAAAAGTGTTCTACAGTTCTTTCTGGGCATTTTTATGTACCTATGACACATAATAAAAATATTTTTAATGCGGTGTTATTTTCCAAAATAAGTAAGTGTTACACTCGCCCCGTTTGCCGATAGTTGACTATCCAGGGCAGGGAGGTTGGCCACATTGATAAAATTTTGTATTAATAGTTTTGTTTTTAAAAGGTGCACTTTTCAAAAACAACAATAAAAAATTTTTTATATGTAATAGAATGTTTTTTATTTTGGTAGAGTTCTCCCAAACAGAATCGTGTTTCATTTAGTTTCCGGGGCGATTACCGAAAGTTTTTTTCATATATTCAGGTATGGATGAATCTCACAAAATGTGACACTTTAAATAAACTAAAAAAAATTTTAAATTGTTTTAAATAATTTAAATTATTAGTAGATTGAAACTTTATATTGTATAAAATAAATGTTCATATGAGCAGAGCTGAATTTGATCATTTACTATTTTTCCCATTATTTCATATTTAGTTGACACAGAAACATTTACAATCAGGTAACGCTTGAAAACTGATAAAAAATGCAGTGATAAATTTTATTAAATGATAAAATAATTATATAAACAATATAATAGACCCTTAATTATTAAAATTCCAATGTTAAAAAATTTTTATTCAAATTACTTTTAATTACTACTTAATTATAAGGAAAAATTGTCATATTTTTGTTGGTTACCTGATAATTTAAACACACAAACTTTCTAATTAAGCCTAAAAAATCTTGGGATCTTTTAAATATTCACTGTTACCAGTTAATATTTACTCTAAAGAATATAATTACTAGGTGCACGCTCATTCTTCCTGTGTGTGGACGAAACGAAGGTAGCCTAGTTAATAAGGCTGAGCTGGTTAGTAAGGCGACCAGACTCCACCGTAGTACTCTAGGTTGGCGCACAAAGGGCTACACTGGTTTGAGCAGGCATGCATGCTCAATGCTCAAACAGTGTCTTGCAGAGCAGGAGATCATTTCGAGCATGCCTGAGGCCTTGGTGCAGATGTGGTGAATTAGTATGGCCATAACTTAAATGACAAGTCAACAAAACACCATGGCCTCTGTTGGTCCAGAACAGGCTGCCATATAGGAAATATTCAGTATCCAGAGAATTTTGTTTTATGCTAAAATTTATCAACTTTTTTTGGTGGGATTGACATCATATTATCTTTGGACTTGGGACAAAACTTAGCTGAGAACAACATTATCAACAAACTAAAGAAAAGGGATTTTGACAACTCTCTTTATGTCATTAATTAATATGGAGATCAGAAAATATCTAAATTGTTTTGGTTGTCTTCAAGTTAATTTAGAAAGAAATCATATTCACCCTATAAAAGCCAGTTCATATGATCTAATCAAGGCAGTTAGTAAAACTCAACCTGATGAGTGTGAAGAAGAGGCTAACTAAGTATGCAATTAATTCAGTATGGCAAAGGCTAGTAGACAACAACAAAGTCCCGCTGCAGATTAAAATATTATGCTTCGAATCTATTCTAAGAGCTATTTTGTGTTACGGCGCACAAGTTTGGGGGTTTTCAGAAATTTCTCAGTTAGAAAATGCTCAGAAAACGTTTATTAAAAGGATGTTTAGATTACCACATAACTGTTGAAATAATGAATAAACTATTAAATTCTATTAATAATTAAAAACTATTAAATAGCCTATTTAAATTCTAATAATTAAAAAAAATTAATAAAAGTTATGTAAACAATACTATGAAAAATGTATTTTTTTTAGTTTTGTTGAAAATAGATGTAAAATTGTATGTAAATTTGTGTATGTTATTAAGTGTACTAGCAACAGAGCCCGTTGTAGTTAATAATAGATTTTGTTTCAACATAATTTTCATAAATGTGTTTTCCAGGTGTGCCAACCAAACAGACGGCCGTAGACCATTGTTTATTAAGTGTTTGATCATGTTTATGAGAGGACTGTTTATTTAAAAAAAAAAAAAAATGTATATGGGGATCAGAAAATATCTAAATCTTTTTGGTTGTCTTCAAGTTAATTTAGAAAGAAATCATATTCACCCTATAAAAGTCAGTTCACATGATCTAATCAAGACAGTTAGTAAAACTCTACCTGATGAGTGTTTATTGTACTCAACCAAATTTAGCGGAGCTTTACCTTAGTCGCATTAGAACTACATCGGAATCTGTATTGGAAATTTTCTCTGTATGGTAACCCTTTATCAAACAAAAATATTATGATAGAGTGAGTATGATAAATTGGAAAAAAAACACAACAATAATAGATCTGACAATAGTTATTGTTTTTTTTTAGCTTAAAAAAAACTTCAGTTAGAATGTGGAATTTGGAAGTTTTCAAAGTAAAAAATACAACAATAAAATATATTTGCCCCATAACCCTATAAGAAAGCCTGTTCTCATCATCTGGCTAGGAAGCTTTCGCTTTTCATGCTAGAAAAGTCTTCACTCTCTTACATCCAGTCATATCAAAAGTGGAGTTTCATCAACAGTTTAGCGCCACTCATCATACACTCATCTCCATTCATACTTGGCTTAAAATACCTACTTTGTATGGTCGCCATTTCAAGAAAAGTATTAAGTATTAAGCAGCTTAGACACAATATATTACTTTGTTTGTTTTTAAAACTCTTTTTAACACATCCACTAAACCCATTGGATTTTATTATTTATTGTTGTTGTTATTTAATAATTAATATTTATTATTCTTAGTCTATTATTCACTGTATTCAATTTTATGAACTCATAGCATGTTCTCAATTTTTGTACAAACTAGAATAGTGCTGCAATGTAAATGGGATTTATATTCTGTTTTGTAGCATGCAAAATAAAATAAAATAAAAATAAAATAAAATAAAATAAATTTTGAAGTTAAGTCTCATACAACCTCCTGTGAAAGCATATTCTCATGGTCCAGCTAGGATGCTTTGTGTAAATCAATTATATTAGATATGTGTTTACTCTCTTATATGGTGACAGTGGTGTTGTCTGCACTAGGCCTAAGGAGAAACTTTCTCGTAATACAAACAGACAGTTTATTCCATCGCAGTCCTTTGGACGTTCGACAGATTTCCGTAATTAATTTGAAAACTCTTATCCTAATGACATCTTAGACTCTGATAGTGTAAATGCTACTAATAGAGGTGAGACTGATCTTGTGGTGAACGTAGAGTCTAACGTTTCCACAGTTCTAACCTCTCAGTCTGAACACTCTCAGGATAAAGAAGGTACTGGTATCATTGCTCGAAATACTCCAACTCCTTTAAGTAGTGTAGGTAAAACAGATAGGTTACTCTATATTACTGTTGTTTCAACCAAAAAGACTCGTATAACTGATAGGCCTACTCTGAAACGAGACAGTAACAAAACGAGACCAGTTGTAATTGGCTGTGACGAATCTAAAGATGGCTTGAAACATGCAGAACAAAAAAGGTGGGTTTTTGTTTCTAGGTGTGACATAAACACGACAACTGATGATCTTACAGTTTATTTAAAAAAACAGTGGATTATCAGAGGTATCCTGTGAAAAACTGACAACCAGGCATTCTAATTGTAGTAGTTTCAAGGTAAGTGTGCCCGAAAAAGATTTTTCTTCAGTTCTGCAAGGTGGTTTTTGGCCTAAAAATATTTTGGTAAAAGAATTTGAGTTCCCTAGTAGGGTTTTTAGGCCTAGACATAGTGGAACCGGGTTAAGCAAACCTATTTTTTTAGCGAACAAAAGTCAGTAGGAGAGGAAAACGAGTATTGTTTGTGTCTGCTGCATCAAAACGTGGAAGGACTTGGAATTTTAAGTTTGAGGGATATAGCCTTGTTGACTCATACTCTAGAAATCTTCATAAGGGAGGTGGTGTAGCTATCTACATTAAGGATCATCTCAGTAAATTTGTATCAAGGTTCAGGCCTACTTGGGTTAAAAATTTGTGCAGCGATTTAGACTTTGAAGTTGTAATGGCTAAGATATGTATTGGTGTTTTCATTCTATTTGTGATTGCTATATATAGGTCACCTAATGGAAACCTGTCCACTTTCTTGGAAAATCTTGAGGTTGCCTTAAATAATATACCAAAAAGTGACAGGGTGAGAGTTTGTATACTGGGTGATCTGAATATAGACACTTTGAATGACAGTAGTGAAAAGAGAAATTTGTTGGATCTGACTGAATCTTTTAGGTTAGAGGATATTTTAGGCCATTTGCCCACTAGAGAAACTTTATCATCTTCATCTTCTATTGACCATATAATCACAGATGTTAAGTTTACAGAAGCCAAAGTGATAAATGGTTTTATATCTGATCATTATGCACAATATGTAGATGTTAAAGCTGTTGTAGCTTACAATTGTACTGATACTTTTTTGTACAAGCGCAAATTTAATGAAGTAAATGTAGCTAGCCTTAGACATAGTCTGTCCAGGGAAACTTGGGATCCAGTTTTTGTTCTTATGGATGTTAACGATAAATGGAAGGCGTTTTTTGACATCCTATTGTGGCATTTAGATGTAACTTGTCCTGTAACTAAAATTAAAAAGAAAGGTAATGTTCATAATAAAGCTGTAAGTAAAGTGGTTCTGAGTGAACATACATTAGGTTTGCAGGAAAGTATGATTAATATGCATACTATTTTCAAACAAACTGGAAGTGAGATCTACAAGGCAAGGTACACA